AAGTAGTACTTTTAATATTTCTACTCCTACTCTACTTCTTCATTCTACTTCCTACAAAATATTTTCATTGCTCGTAACACTTTCGGCCTTGGAATTTTTCTGTGAGAAGAAATTATTCCAGCTCATAGTGGTTACTTATTAGGAAATACATAACATTGCAGCAAAATTTGGAATCTTTTTCAACGTAAGCTATGGAACTAGGAAGCTGTCAGGATTGCCACAGCTTTCTTTGTTCTAAGTCTATGTGAAAGTGCTTCCAAATTTCTGTCATGTTGAAAAAGTTTATGGTCTTCACAACCTCCTAGTTTTGAAAACTATGAATGTACTAAGTATTTTGGAAATAATGAGGCGGAGGCCAGCGCGTTCCATCGTTGTACTTATACACAAATGATTGTAACCACGCAATAAAATGGCTGGTGTCAAGCAAAATTTGAAAGGAAAAACTTTTCTGAAGCGAACTGTGGCAGGAGTAATAAAAAAAATTCCCATTGCGCCGGTAAATCATGGTGGCAATTGCCCCAGCCAGGGCCGAAAGTGTTAAAGCGTTGCTACTAGTGAAATGTAGAGGCTCAGGATACAAAAGCATATGGACTGTTTGTTCTAGCGGTTGGGCGTCAACCTGTCTTACAAAACTCATTATTTCTCGCTCATTTCTTCATAGAGATCACGATCACACTTCCATTTTTGAAATTTAATGCGTTAATCCCTCCCTTTATTAGCAAGTTTGTTGCTCAATTTTGTTTTCTTTTGGTGTGAGTAACATGGATGGTTTACACTTTGATTAGAATGACTGATTGGTTGTTATCTTGTTTCTTTACCATTATTTTACTCACGATCTCGATTTTTTTATTGCATGAGATGAAAGCTTCATTTTTGATTTTTTTTTGCATTTGTTGTTGGTGAGTAGCCAAGGTATCTCAGACGATTTAGCCCATAGTAGTTTTTTTTCGTGTGACGCAGGGTAGCAAAATGTTAGGTAAACAGGTCTCACAATGGTGATGAGCCGGTTGAACATGCTGGTGATCCTTCTAATTTTCGCTTACGTTGCATATGCGGCTCAACCAACTTCTTTGGATGAAAAGGTATGTAATTCGCTTCTGTTTTCCTTCGTAAAAATCAGTGACACTCTTTAGGTCAAAGCGCTCCAAGACTTGCTGTATCGACAGCCAGCGGTGCGATTGAACATGGATCGCTGGAAGACATTTGTGAGACAGCAACCCCGCAACTACAGTATGTTTGTGATGTTCACTGCACTGTCGCCAGGAGTGAACTGCCCCATTTGCAAGTGAGTGCTACGCGTTCTTGAACTCGAATTTTTTAGAATGGTTGAATACATATGTGAGAGGAATGTAGTTTCGAAATGGGTACTGTGCACCTTGTGGATCAGATCTGAGGCGGTATCCTATCATTCCCCCAGGGGACGCGTCCCCTGCCGCTGATTCTATCCTATGGTTGGGGAGAGAGGGTTGCTTCATAGGACCCTCCAATGAACGTGTGATGTCGTAGCTACCCTCCCCTGTTGAGGCACTCTTTCCTCTGCGGGGTCCCGTTGCCTGGAATCTAGTATGGCTTTTCTTGTGATGCAACCCTATCTACCCCGACATTAGGATCGAGTCAGGGAGGAAGGGGGAGGCGTCCTTTTGGAAGAAGGGTAGATTACTGCCCGTGGCCACCATTTTTTGCGTTTGGTAAACACAGTTTCCTAAAATAACTTGTGTGTTTATGGGGGGGGGGGGGGAGATGGGTAGGAGCGCAGAGAACTATAGAGGAAGAACTGAGTACTTATTTTTTTAACATGAAAAGTTGTTAGAAACTCTCAAATATTGACTTTATGTCTTACATGGGAATTTCTACACAAGCACGTTTGAAGGCCGGCCTATGACGAGTTCATGATTATGGCAAACTCCTATCGCTACGCTCACGCTGAACTAAAGCAAGTGTACTTTGGAGTTGTTGACTACGAGGAGGCCCCCCAGATTTTCCAAGCGGTACGGCAAAACGAATTTTGTTTGAGAATTTTCAGCGAAGTAATGTTATAAATCTTTCATGTTTAGATGAATCTGAACACTGCTCCAATTTTGTACCATTTTGGGCCTAAGCTACAGGGCAAGAAGAAGCCTGACCAGATGGACTTCCAGCGTCACGGGTTTGATGCTGATGCCATGGCACGTT